TATCTGTATATACATATGTATATATATATGTATGTATATATATATGTGTGTGTGTATATGTATACATGTAACTATGTATTTATGTATCTATGTATATATGTGTATATGTATATATGTATATATGTATACATGTATATGTGTATGTGTGTGTATATATATATGTATATATATATATATGTGTGTGTATATATATATGTATATATATATGTATATATGTATATGTATGTATATGCTATATATGTGTGTCTCTCTCTCTCTCTCTCGCTCTGATGGAGATCGATATGTATTATTTACGAATGTACGCACGCATGCGCTGGAGTCCTCACTGACAAAACGGGTCCTGTAGCGCAAGGTACAGCCCTGCACATCCCAACTCATGTCTTTACTCATACAGTAACCGTGGAAATGCGATCTCAACCCCCAAAAACAAGAATCGCCTTAGCGAGAGCATGGCTCAGTTGTTGCGTTGCAGCTGCTACTAGCTGTTGCGAATGAGACCTTTGCGAATCGCTAGCCCGCTTGACTTCAGGCACCTCGTCAGCTTCAGGTTCAGCGGTTGGCACTTCGAGGCTGGGGCCATCCGGCGACACGAATACCTGCTCCGTACACTTCCATGGTTAAGGGAACTACAGTAGCAGCTCTCTTTACAGAGCCAGGTTGCCGCTTGGGTCATAGAAACTGGGGAGAAGGGCTCTTCATCCGCTCCATCTTCATCCTCTTCGAGCGGACTTTCTCCTGTCTCCTGAAAGGAGACAATTTACCGTTCCCGAGTCGCGAGCATTGCATGCTGCATCTTTCGTGCAGCTCCTCGTAACACGTCGAGCCGGTAAGTTCCATGGCGCCCTTGGCTTCTTGCACCTCAGCCGAAGCCGGTCATGCTCGCCGCACTTTGCACTCATGTCCCCTCCGAGGCAGCCGCCTGAGAAAGCGGGATTTGCAAGATGTCTGCCACGTCTTCTGGGGCCACGTTGCGCGCTAGCATGCCTGAACTTCCAGGTTCTTGTACACAAAGACACACGGCATCGCACCTATGATGTACGCTGCTGTTGTTTGAGCTAGGAGAAACTGTTGTCGGCACAAACACTGGACTTTGCCCGGCAGCAATCTTCACATTAGCATTGCTGCCCACTGTCAAAACGCCGGCTCCCCCATGCATGGCAGGACCCTCTTGCAGCCGACGCCCCCATGAAAAAAACACCCAGGCTGCAGTGACTGAGTCTCGCTACCTAGTACGACAGTCAGGCTCGGGGCCGGCGACTTCTGGAGACCTCCAGCACCAAAACTGCGAGCCAAGGGACGCTGAGTTAGAACCGGCGTGTCCTGCAAAGTACAAGCCAGCACTCATCTCGAACTGTACGCGTCGCTGTTCAAAACACAGCTTTATAAAGTGCTAGTCAATTACAAGAGTACTACGTCAGGCGGTCCGGATCCAACTTCATAGATCTCGCGCAGCGCAAAGGCTCTTTCCTACTGAGAGCCAAACAGGCCTTGAGCCAAAAGACGGTTGCAAGCGCACAGGCGCACAGCTGCCTCTTGTTCTTCTGCATTAAAACCCATGTCTCGGGACCGGTCTCCGTGGTGAAGGGACATGCCAGGATGGCCCAGCATCGAGTAGATCGGCCTGTGCAAGGCTCAGCAGTGTGCCTAACATTACGTAAGGGTTGCAGCCAATACAGAGCCACGCCAGACACCTGATGTGACCTGTGGATCATGAGGCTTCGGCTACTAATGCGGCCTCAAGCATCCGCGAATATCAAGGAAGCGTGGATGTGTTAGCTATCAAACCCACCTACAAGCCTCCCTAAGATGTTCAATGGCTCTTGTTGCCAGCTTGGGTACCCCGAAGTTGGGCAACGGCTCGTCGGCGCTGACGACTGGCTTGGCCTACCGCAAGATGAGGGCTTCTTCTGGTCGTATCGACTTCCGCATAATCGTTATAAAGAAACGGTTTCCCAGGTCTGAGAACCTGGATGCAAGTTGGATGTTGTTGCAAAGTGAGAGTCCATGCCTCGTGCATCGAGCGATGAGATCGGCCCGACTTTCCCGAGTGCGAGCTTCGGCCTTGTGCGAGGTAGGAGGCGGAGGCGGCGGGCTGGGAAAGGTTCCACAGGAATTTAAACGACACCGCGAGCATGATCCAGTGTCGCAGAGATGCTCTCCATGGCGCACGCACAGTGTTGATGGATCCGTAACCCCTGAGGCCACCGCGGCTTCGTCCAGTGTTTGGAGCACTGACATCCTCGGCCTCAAGGCTCAGCAGATCTGCTCAGAAGACTGCTTCCGGACCTTCCGGCTTTGCAGCATGCAAGCTCACCACATTCCTGAAGATGGACACCAGCTTGGGCTCAAGCAGGTGCAGGCATGCCGAAGACTGGGAGCATGGCCTCGGCCTGCGTCGGAATGACATTTACAACCCAGTTCTACCAATGTACATTATATGACTTCTCACAGCTCCCAAACAGACCACTAGAAAGTACTGCATGCACAGAGAGCGTGTGTGTGTACCCAAAACCGTATACAGAGGCGCTTGCACTCTGCTGCCGGGAAACGACTACTGAAGATCAACCTGTCAGCAAACTCAGCTCCGGGCAGGTGTCTGCATGCCTTAATTAGAGGGTAATTAAGCTGTTATGGGTACACATACCGGTAAGGATCACAAGTGCTCTGTGCCCGAAGATTACGTGCATGGGCGATTCGGTATTCATCAGAGGTAGTTTGTCACAAGCTTCCGCCAAAGACTTGTTTTCCTTGGTCTCCATGCAGCGGCACTGTGTGGTCTCAAGTCCTGTGAAACTCAGCGCTGTTGGCTCTGTTGTTGCTGCTGCGCATACTCCTTAGCTGGTCTGGGGTTTGGCTGGGCCGCATGAGATGTGCAAGATACACACAATGGTCAGCCACATGCATGCGATTGCAGGTACAAGCAGATAGGCAAGGCGAAGCGGATTCACTTGCTTGCGATGGTTTCGTGTCTGCTGCGACTACCAACTTCTTGTGCAATGGCATCATGCTTAAACCTCTTGCCTGGAACTCCTTCTCCATTTGCTCTATCTGTTCGAGGGTCGCTGACCTTGGTATTGGCGCATGCCACCCTGGACTCATCACCAAGCAACAACAACACAAGGCTTACACGTAAAAGCTGCGCTCCCTGATTAAAAAGCCGAGGTCACTTGATCGGCATGATCTTCGGCTTGCAGAGAACTTCGGAAAGGTTGCCTTTCCTTGCGATGGGAAGCTGCCCACGCTGCATGCGCGAGCGCACATGATGTCCAAATTTCCTTCAAGCCTTGCAAAATGGTACATATTTTTATCACTGCTCTGAGAACTACACTTTGTGGACATAGTGCGAGCAGCACGAAAATCGAATTCTGATGTCTCATCCATCCGAAAGGGCACCCGACCTAACTCTGTTTCAGCCCAGGGGCTCGGAGTACACGAGGCCAGCTTTCGGCCTTCCAAGGTGGAGTAGTAGCGCTTGGGTTCAGTGCCAACTTGCTAAGGTTTTCTTCAATTTGCAAACATGTGCTGGTATGGCGCTGTGTGATGGGGCCACAGTGGGACGGCTCGACAGCAGCTACAAGCGGCAGTGCCAGATAACAAAGACTTGTAAGTGCGTGGGTCTACTTTCTCCAGTCCAACCAAAACTCGAATCCAGAATTTCTGAGCTGTCTGAGAGGTGTTTCACGGAATACCAATCGGCGGAATAGAACAAAACATGCCGACGAACATAATTAATAAAAGGGTAAAGGCCGGTACCCGTCCTAGTATAGCCCATGCCGAGCGGCAGAATCTCAGGGATCACGGTATGCTTTGCCGCATCATCCATGTTCTCTTGCAGTTCTCGCGGCCGTCAGCTTGAGCAGCGAATCTTGCTTCGGCAGTCGTCAGCGGGATGTTCATCACTTACTTTGTGCCGCTGCGAGCTGCGAACTTCGTCCGGCAGCTACCAATTCCATAACACCCTGGTCATCGAGTTGACACTCTAGGACAAAACCGACTGAAACTTGACCAACACACCGAAGGCTAGTGGGACCGTAGCTTCCTGCGGGGCTGAACCTGGATCACGAAAGCTTCGCTGAAGCTCTTGGGCTGCTGAGGGTGCAGCTGGAAGGCCCTGGCTCGGCCTTGCAAGTGCAACAGTAAGACATCCGAATGAGCATTGCTATATCACAGAGTTTAGTGAGCCCTCTTCAACGCAGAGCGAAAGCTTTACAGAACACCTTCGCGCTGCATGAAAGGGATACTATCCCCAGTCGTCTGGGTCGAAGGCATCTAATCGAGCAACCGGCTTCATGGCGGTCAGCGCCTCGGCTTGGGACTGAGTTGGGGCTCGCACACTTCTTTAAGCGGGATTCCCATGGCCTCGGCAGCGGCGGCGCCTCCGCCCGCAATGGCACCAACCTTGGCACGTGAGGCTGGAACTGTGGGAAGCTCTCGCCGAGGAACAGCCGACCTTACTCATAATATGCCTCAACGAACAGAATGTTATGCAGTACCATCGTGTACCAGTGCCTCGCCTGTTTTCTTTTGAGAAAGGCCTTCCGAAGCATGCAAAGCAGCCCTGAACGACAAATACCAAAGAAGTACTGAAAAGTATGCGAAAGTGTGGTGTGCAAAAGCCCAGGCCCCAAGACAGGCCCTTCTGTTTCTTTTTGACTACGAAACCGTCAGAGCTGAGCGCTGCGCAGTGCGGGAACGATGGAGGTGTCTTTTGGGCTTCTCGGGCCTCGGGCAAGCGAAGCTGATGCGATGGAACAGGTGCCTTCCCTTACTTCCTTGTACTTGTAGTTGGGCTGTTTGATTCGACAGGATGCAATGTGCAAGCGCATGCAAACGTTTCCCGTGCGAAGGTGCGAAGGGCTGCAGGCAGTTGCGAGAACATCGCTGCGGAAGCTCAGAGTCCAGGCGGTCCCAGCTCCGATAACGAGCTCAGCAAGTCCTGCAGCTGCTGTGAATCGACATCAGCAGGCCGGACACCTTTTTGTCGACACGTGAGCCCTACAGTTGGCAAACAGGCCGAGCCGACTTAAGACAATGCTGCCAACCATTCAGAATTCAAATTTCAACGAGCAAGAGCTGATCACACGGGATCAACACTTCAAGACTCCTCCGCCACGCGATCGTCTTTGCTGTCCCCACTGTTCCCTGGAGCCGTACAGTAGATCGCTTGCTCACACGCTCGTCATCTCTTGTCCGAATCGGAATAGTGCGCGGACCCAGATCCTGCTCTGCACTTTCGGCCTAGGCCTGCAAGTGGCCGAGAATTCCCACAGAAAGCGAGGGCTGTGGGCTGCTGAGACTGCTTTTCGCGCTTGCAACTAGACCTAGGCCCCCCGGCCTGCAGCACCGGCCAGATCTCGTACAGGTATGCTGAGGCTGCCGCTTTTCTTTTCCCGCTTGTTCAGGATTTGCTCCTTAGGACAGAGCCAGGCCGGTGCATCCCGCAGAAAGCGAACGACACAATCAATTCTGTTTTGGAGGCACCAACCTATCACAACCAAAGCGGCATCACGGAATACGCAGCAGGAACAGAGGCTCTGCTGTCTGGACTGCACAGCTGTGGGGCCCGACCACTCGATCGCGAGCCGCCTTGCAGTTCCACGATGGAAGGCGAAGGGCGAGCAAACTTCCGAAGGCATCTCCGCCGAGGCCTGTCGGGCTTGTTCCGACTGCTTCAGCTTCTCCTGCAGCTCCTGCTTCTGCTCGACCAACTTCCTGAGGCGGCTCAGGTCGGGCTGGTGAGGCTAGTGCCCCGATTTGCTCTGCTTAGCGCTGGGCTCGCGCTTGCGGTTTGTCCCTCGGAGGTGTGTAGTTACACGCAAGGGGGTCTTGGCTCCTCTGAGCCGCTACCTGAACAAGGCAACATTGCTGAGGACAGCTCGATCTCGCTCTGCCCGCAGCTCAGCATTCTCCTCCTGGCAGATCAAGGCGCCGGCGACGGCCAGGGCACGAAACTCTTGCCAAGCAAGAGCACATTTAGATGGCTCGCTTGCACTTCCCTCGGCTGCAAGGCCTCCAGCTGTTGCACTTTGGCTGTAAGGTCCTGAGACGCATTTACCAAAACGTTATCATGGAGAACCATTCCATTCTAGCAAGCGGCACAAGCAAGTGTCGCAATGACAGCACAGCAAAGACTACAAAGCGGTGCCGCCGAAACCGTCCTGGAGCTGCCGCGCATAGCCCGCGATCTCCTTAGTTTCAATTAAGGGTTGGTCCCGCATCACGTTTTGGAGCAGACATGAGGGTTAGAACTCGCTATTCAGCTGAGAGCCGGGCACTGTCCAGAAGCTCAGCAGCATCATCCTGAACACCCACGCTTCCCAAGATGGCTCTGACTCTCTCCGGGCTGCTGTAAAAACCGTCAGAGCGCCCTCGTGTCCGCACCCAGTCCTCGAGCTGACGGTCCTGCAAAGAGCACAAGAGCAGCCAAACATCTCACGTCGAACACTCGTCGACACATCCACTCAACTCAAACTTCACGCTGCTCTTGTTCGACTCTCGTTTCGCGTCGTGCCTTCATCTGCTCCGCGAGATCTGCTAAGGCCGAATGCCTGAAATCTCCAGTCTCCAACGCTTGAAACGTTCTTCGCGTGCTTTGTCCTGAGTTCGCATGCCAGGGCTCCCGACGCATGCAACAGCTCCTCGTCCTTCCCGGAAATAACCTCAGCAGGGCTCAAACTGCAGTCTCTGCCGGGGACAGACTGTGACAGGAAATGCTCCGTTAAACCTCCGGTCGCAGAGAACAGGCCTGGATTGAATAAGTGAAAAACTATATACGTCTTCTTGAAGGGTTTCCGTTCGACAGCGCAAGCTCGATGGAACCATGCAGGGCCGAAGAATTCTTGTGCTTTCCGCGATCAAGCCCTGGCGAAACCGAGCCATGCCCTGCAACTGCTGTCGCTTACCACGAGATCCAGAAGTGCACAGAACAACTCGCTTGACGCAGCTCCGGCCGTGTCAGAGAAGTTCGACACTCAGGTTTCAAGAACAGCAACCCAAATACCTCCCATAAACGCAATTAGACAAACGTAGAACATCCAGCAGGTTCGTGAGTCAGCAAGTCCCATGCGTAGAAGAGCTCTTCCTCGTGGGCGCGAGCCTCAATGCCGCGCGAAGTGACCCGTTGCAGCAAGGTCTGCCTTTAGCAACCCTTCACTCGTGGATCGGAGGTGTCGTGAGGGTGACCCCAGCATTTCTGTAGTTCGACAAGCTGTAAGCTCCCCGCCAGGTCCCTCTGCTCGCACACAACAGCAAGCTCTTCTTGCAAGTCCTTGAAGTCATTTGCCAGGAGGGGCCACGGTTTGCTTTCAGGCTCCCCAGGCCTCGGAGATGCCTTGGAGACGGCTCAACTCTTCCTGCAGCCTGGGACCTGGGACCGACACGGTCGGGTGAATGACAGTTAATGGAGCACCGCACTCTCTACTCCGCCCTGTCGAGGCAGTAGAAACGATCCCTTTTCTCGAGACAAGCAGGCAGACAGGAATTTGACAGCTCTTTGGCTGTGCTGAACGAAACCTACCGTTGCGGCTCGATTTCTTGCCCGACTGACGAAATGGGCACTATAGCCTGGCTGTGGACCCACAGTCCTGTCCGCATGTAGCTCGACTTGGTGGTTTGACTTGGGCTGCCGCACACCGAAGCTACCTGGCTACTTGTGAAAACGAGTTCAAGAGGACTCGAGGTAGTTCAAACAAAGCGAGCTCGGGTCCTTGTCCAAGACTAAGCAGCCCCGCAGCAGCAACGGGCTCGCTCTGCCAGCGATTTCCTTTCCACCACTGGCCTGCAAATCTTGCAAAGGAGGTGCTCTTCTTATGACATCTCCAGCACACCGAGATGAGATGGATCGCAAAGAACTGAGCAATGCCAACCGAAGAACGGAATGCAACGCAGTTCTGCGACACGGCTTTTTAACTTCTTGTGCCCTTGGGGCTCATGACCCCGAGCCGCCCACCTGTACTTCAAACGCAAGCATGATGCTGGTGTCCTGCGTGGGAGGTCCAGTGCACATTCATCCGAGAATCTGAGTCACATGGCCGGGTTTTGTTGGGGGCCATGGACGGGGAGTGACACTGACTTCAAGACTTGGCTGCATCTCCCTGACTCGACCCTCTTTTCTCATTACGGATGTGGAGTCTTCCGCCAAGATGGCGAGAACCACTGCCCTGATTCTGTGCTCATGGTGAGCAGAACATGGGTTCCCAACATCCTCAGCTCTGCCGCTCCAGCCTCACATACCAACATTGATTTCAAACTTTCCCTACTAACTTACGCATAGCAGATTTTCGGATGTCCTGTGTGGTCGGAGCCGGAATCACCCAGGAGCGAACCAGGATGCAATCCTTCAAACCGGCATCCAGGTCGAGACTAACGGCCAAGAGATTTCTGGTCCAATGCACCAACAGCAAACAAGCACCACGAGGGAAAGATGGCTAGGCTCTAAGAAGAGACTAAAGTCGCTGAAGTGGAAGCGAATGGAACTAGTGCTTTGGTTGAGATTGCTGCACGTGCCGCGACATCTGCCATCCTCCTGCGCCTTTGGGATTCATGTCTGTCTCTGTCTCTGTCTCTGTCTCTGTCTCTGTGTGTGTGCGTGTGTATGTATGTATGTATGTATGTTTGTTTGTTTGTTTGTATGTATATATATATATATCTATCTGTGTGTTTTTAGTTAGAACCACGTACCTGCCCACTGCCCACCCGCCCACGTGCCCACCTGCCTGCCTACCTGCTACCTGCATACCTATCCCCCTACGTAAAGACGTATGTAAGTGCATGTACGAATGTGCAGGTGTACTTGCCACATACGTGCATGCATGCATACATACCTTACTTTCTTACCTACTTAATTATTATTACCTACCTACATAGTTACTTACTGACTCGTACAAAATACATGTATACTTGTGCGTGCACGCGAAATGTATTCATGAATATAGGCACATGCATCTGTCAATCTATCTATCCCTGTGGATGTGCTACATCCTGCAAACATTCGCCGCCTTGGCTCACGATGAGCCGAAAATCTGGAGAACCTCTCAGCCAGGCGGCACCGGCACCAGCATAGCCAGCATAGGCCACATAGGCTTGCCGAGTTCGAGCACGAAGGACTGCTTCGTTCAGCCTGGGATCAGCAGGGACGCTATCAAGTCGGACCACACTTCTCTTCGGTGCCAGTGCCCTACATGCATGAAGGACGCCGGAGATGATGCAGATTAATCAGCAACGGAATGCGACCACAAAGTGCGATCATCGTTGTCCACACACAAACACACACAGAGCACCTCTGCTGGCATGGCACCAGCTCGGGTAGCCTTGAGCTGATGCGGCATAAAACCGCCAGCCTCACATTGCCGAATGATGACATGCAGGTTTCATGCAGCAAAGGTTCGAGCTAGGAGTAGCTTGAGTAGCTTACCAATGCCAGAGCTCCTCCACCAATAAGATACTACTGGTAGTAGTAGTACTAACAGGGTTGAGTGATTCGGTTGGTGACGATGCGCTAGGTGGTCCGCCCGGCCGCACCAGAAGACTGTGCCGCGAGAGCGGCCGGCCAGTTTGTGCAGTTCAGGTTTGCATTTAAGCCGACATGCCTTAATCTTAAAGCTTTTCGGTTGCAGTCCACCCACCACGAACTGCATGTCTTGCACACCAGACAGCCTCGGAGGGCCATGCCCCCCAGGGCCCGGAGGGTTGACCGCCAAATACGCGACACGTTGAACCAACAACGATCGAGAGACATGGGAGAGGTTGGGTAAACATGATACAACTAACAATTCAAGAAGCGTGGCACAGAGCACAAATTAGACTCTGCACTTGAAATTAGTGAGAGGCGGGCAACCGACCGAGAGAATTCAATGCAGGCGAGAATGAAGAAGATGCCTGAAGAGGTGAGCTGTGTTCCCGTATGGTCACAATCTTGGAGATTATAATTTGCAAGGCTGTGGTGGCAAACATTCGTGAAGGCTTTCCAGATACAGCAACTTTCAACATTGGTTAGGCATAGTCGGGTCCAAGGAACGCTCCATGTATGCCAGGCAGGTTGCCTGGCGTCGAGAAGTCTGGGGCAAAGTCTGAAGTTGCTGATTGCACACAAACAGTTACAGAACTGCACGCAAGCTTGGTTCACTCGATGATGGAAACTAGAATATGCATGACTAGCTAGCTGGCAAAAAACGCTGCTGGGCACTGCAATGGCGCAATCTGTCGAAGAAGTCCCTATAGTCCTTGCTGTAAACCCACCCGGACCAGCCCCTCCAGTCAGCCACATCGGAACCCAGGACGTTTGGTGAGCTGTCACTCCGATTGAGCCTGCAGGCCCGGATTGCATCCTGCACCCCCCTTTGCGGATCTGAACGAACTCTGGGTTCGTGTCACCTCATGCACACATCCGTGCAAGTCCAGGTCCACCGCAGCCACACATGTCCTGCAGAATTCCCAGCTTGCTTAGAGTGTCTTCCATGCAAGTCGGGAAAGCATGGGAAACCCGGTCGCCTGAAATGCCGCAATTTGCGGAGGGCGGCCGTATCATTTTGACAGGAAATAGATCTTAGATCCCACAAGTCCTGTGTTGCCAGCAGTCTGGTGGCGCTGCTGCTACCATGTCCTTAACAGGACAGGGTAACCCGGGTAGGGGACAGGGTCGAGCAAATGAGATTTAACTTAGCTGGTGTTCACTGCGGCGTGAAGAGGGCTACTTCGAAACTTGTACCGATATACGGCCAATCGAGTATGCACCGCGGTGTGCAGAATTGCTTCAGCCAGGTTGCTGCCAATGCCTGGCAGCGAAGGCTGAAGCAAATGGCAGCTGCGGATGCATCCGGAATCGTTTCTCTCTGCATGTCCTGTCCTCGCCCGTACACCTAGATTCGTTGTCTTAATTTGTCTTGCTACAGAATGAGGGACGCAGGAGCCTCAGGAGATGCGGCGTGCGCCACCTAAGATGCATTGTGCAGCCCGGGGGTGGGCGAACGACGACGATCCAGAACTAAGTACGACAAGAACCTCAGAATGCATGCAGTGACGCTTCTCAAGGTTGTTCTGGAAGCTTCGTGCAATGATGCTTTGTCCGTGATCGTAACTTCCACAGCTGCTGTCTCAGACAAGCTCAATGACACAATGTCGGCACGTGGCCCATTAAAGCAAGCCCTCGTTCCGCCACGAATTTGGTCAATCCAACTCGGATGTCGTAACTGTAGACACATTAAGACCCCGAAGCGGCGCTATGAGCTGCATGCTTCAGTCTGGGGTGCGCCATGTGTCCACTCCGGCTCCGGCAGAGCCAGCTCGGCAAGCCGGCCGGCATCGGGCACCTGAAGCCCACACATGAGGACCACAGGTGTCCAACAACCACACAGAAAAACGGCACAATGTTGGCCTCCATTACCCTGTCACTCTGCAGGAAGATCAGCACAGCCCAGCCCCGAGCCACCTCCACCTTGGTGCAGTGCGACGAGTCTCTTTCTCCGCAACAGCAGCACGGGCTCCGCTCTGTGCTGATCGAGCCTGCTAGGGTGCTTTGCCAAGGAGCTACCTCGCCTTCTGCACTCCGTTGGGTGATCGTGTGGCCCACCAATACGGAGTGTGGCCGCACCTGGACGAACAACACCCTAAACGACAGCTGCGAATTCGTCGCGCCTGAATCTGCGCACTCACGTACGGCCTTGTCCAACCAAGTGCGCAGCTCGTATTGCTCCTCAGACAAAGCACTATCAGCACACTGGCATGCCTCGGATGTTGTTTTGCGACAATATAGGCCAGGCTGCGAGTGGCTCAAGTGTGCGAAGTACTCGCAGAACCTGCCAACAGAGCCTTAAGGTCTCTCAAGGTGAGTGGAACCGTACAGGAGCCTGTGACCGGAGAATAATCCGATCCACTTTGGCAGCAGCATCTGCTAAGCAGCCTTTCCTGAGAAATTGGAGTTGATCTGCTGCAAGGAGCCCGCAAAATTAAATGAACCCTACCTCGAGAGCAGCACGCCAGGCTAAACTTGGTGTCCTGCAAATACAGCATGCGTTGCACTGCTCAGTCGATGGTTCCAAAGGATTCATGCTAACCGCACCATAGTCTTTCCCCGTTTGATGTATGCCCAACGCAACAGCCACATATCTCGGTGGGGAAAGTGGTCGCCAGGTCACTGAACCAAGCGGTAGCGCGCATGCTCAAAGTAGCATGCCAAACCTTGGCACTGTAGTCCGAATCAAGGCAGGCGGCAAGGAACTTCGTCATGCTCTCTTGCTTTCACTCTGTCTCTCTCTCTTCTTCTTCTAAAGCGAAAGTAGGAGGCCGCCCTTATAGGTGGCAACCCCTCCGAGAGCTCGCACAACCGCAGGTTCGGGCATGCGGCTGTGAGATGCTGTGAGCGCGATTCAGCCTCTGAGCCCACTCGGCGTGGAACTTCCACGAACGGGGCTAGAGTGTCTCTGCCGAGCCCTCCACGAGGGTCTTGTGCTTCGCAATACGTAAGGGCACAAAACTGTGGACCGGAGCATCAGGAACCTCCTTCTTCCGTCAAACCCACCTGAACTGACACATGAGACATGAGCTGCATGTGCGGTTTTTGCTGTTAGCAGCGGAGCCGAGTCTGGTGTGAGTACTGAGTATGGGTTGTTGTAGCTATAGCTAAGCTCACTCTCAGCTCTTTCGCTCATCAGGCTGGCGGGGGCGGGGCACCTCCCCCTTTAGGGCACGCCCGGCTGTTGGTGGGAAGCTTGGTGTAATTGCTAAGGCCGATGCCGCGAGAGGCGGGATTCAGCGTTGCAGTGCATTGATGACAGCCCTCACGGCATCCCAAGGATTCAGACTGGGACTCTACAGGATGGTCGCCTTCATCTGTCTCTCTCTCGCTCTCTCTCCCTCTCCCTCTCTCTCCCGGGCATGGACGACAATCACATCCACGGGCTTCAAGCCCACCCGAACGTCGTGTTCAGGCTTGTTGGGAAGTGAGGAACGAACCTAGCTAGTTGAAAGGCTAAATTAAAGCCGTAAAGAATATATATATGTGTGTGTGTGTATGTATGTATGTATGTATGTATGTATGTATGTATGTATATATATATATTAGATAGATAGATAGATAGATAGATAGATAGTGCAGCGCCAGCTGGAGTTGTGCAGGCGTGGTGTCACCGTACTCCAAATGCAGCTGGGATGCTAATCAGAGTTCTAGACTCGGAGCCGCACTCGAAGGCCTCCATGGAGACAGTCTGGACTGTCGGGCACACACTCACAGACTTCAGCAAATAGAGACAGCCAAAAAACGTTGATAGCGGCTCCTCGCGGTTAGGCCAGGCAAAGCATTTCGGGAAACATGGCGACACTGCGGTGCAGTCAGATCGCATCTTTGCAAAGTGTTTTTCACGCGCCGCGAAGTCTCGCTTCGGCCACTGGTCAGCGTGAAAGCTTGTCATCTGATCGTAGCTCGCTGCTATCAGTCAGACTTGTTGTCTCCGGTTGTGGCCTTAGCGGCAAAGACATCAGACAAGCTCTCAAAATCATGGATTGCTACGACGGTGCAAATACTGCCTTGTCCTTGCAAACCCTGCAGGGTCAGCCCTCCGATTTTCTACACTCGCTGGGCCAGTGCCCATGCCCTCATCAACCTTCTGATTCGCTTGCGAGCGATGTGCCGCTTCGTCTCTGATTAACGAGCCCAGGCACTGGACGGGCCTCGCGGACTTGGGAGTAGGCAAATGCGCCGCCAAAGATCAGCACCTGACGGAAGCCACATCTGCGTCTGCGCCGTCTGCGGTGTCAGGGTGAGGCATCCATTTCACCTATTAGCCCGAGCCAGCTGGTCTGTGCCAAGCAGGAACTGGAGCTGGCAGCAGCAAGCACTGCCAGAAGCCCCAAACCAATGCCGTGACCTTTGGCCGTCCGCAGCCCTTCACAGGGCCACTTGGCATGGCGGGTGATCTAGAGCACTCACGAACCCTGTTTTCGTTGAATTCACACTCGACCCAAGTGGTGCTGGAGAGATTGGAAAGGGTTCGCACGAGGCAACAACGAGAGTGCTGCAAGCTATGCAGACTCACAACGCATCACAAGATGAGGCACTGTCGCTGCGCTGTGCTGGGGGGTCCACGGGTTGCTGAACAGAACAATGGAGACCTGAAGTCACAAGGAGATCTCACAAACTATAAACATGGGCAATGCTTCAGGCGCCACTGCGGGTTTATCCTGTTTTCTAGCGCAGGGCCTAGATGGCACGTGTAAGCCTCCTGCTAATCGGTGCTAGCCTGACTCGCAGATCCAGGACTGCCCTTGCTCTGTTCTGTCATGGCAGCCGGGGCTCCACCACCGATAGAAATTTGCGAACAGAGAGGATAATTGTCAGCGCCAGCGGGGTGACCGTGGCGCTGGTGCGGAAGACCCCCTTCAGGCAGATTGTCTGTGACACATTGTTGACCAGCCTGAGATTTTGCGCAGCTAACATACTTCTTTCGTGATGTCCTGAGGACGACGATGAGTTGAAGTCTTCATGTCGCGCCAGTTTCTGAAAATATAGCTGGGCTGCAGCCAAAGAATTTGCCTTGGGAGATGGAATGGCAGATATGGCACAGGCTCCGAAGCCATGGCTGCTCGTGCTGCCTCAGCTTGCGGTTGATAGCTCGCGTTCTTCCGCATGCCCAACACCGAAACGCACAAGATTGCTCAGTCTTCCCCAACAACGTCAACACGCCTCTTCGATTCTTGATGCCCTCTGAGCCGACGTGCTGTCCTGCAGAGCCCTCTGAGCCGGAAGCCGCCAGGATGTCATCCTTCAAGCAAAGGAGGGGCAAGAGCGCCTGAGTCTCAGCTTAAGCACATACCTGTGCCCAAGGAAAGAAAACGAAAGCTGCAGGCCGTAAAGCGGAGAATACAAAAGTGCCCTTAAGTAAGCTTCTGCTACGACATGCTACGACCGATCCCCCGAAAGCAAACACCACAAGCATCAGAAGGGATATTTTCCACTTTTGAATGTGGTCTCCCTGACAGGGACAGCTTTGAGAGAGCCTTCGTAGCATTTGTGAGTTACGACAGTCGCCCTCCTCAACACTACACTTGACAAGTGGCCGCCACATGCGAGGTGAAGAGGAACTCATCACACAGCTCGTTCTTTGGAGCCAGGTCCTGACTCCCCCCCTTAAACCTTTTGTGTCCAATCGTTCCAGGAGCCCGAATCGCCGGCCTTGTATATCTTGTAGTAACTGGACTGAACATGTCCGAGAAAGCCTCGATCAGGAGGTTCGTTGAATATTGCCGATACCCTATGTACCATGAACCTACAGGCGCTGCACGTCTAAAAGGGGTGTCCATATGCGTGCATGAACTCCAGTGTAACACCTCTTTGAGGCACCCTTCGCCTTCAGGCACGTGCTGCTAGCTTGTCTTAACAAAGTACTACGTACTATCTTGTGGCTTGTGGCTCTGGCAAGCCATGGGCCTTGAAGCAACTGCACGAAAGCCAGCATTGCAATACCGATGGCCCAGGTAGCGAGCTCCACCTAAGCTGTCACGCAGCCACTCAGCGGAATCGCTATACGACTCGCAAACCCAGTACCGCGAACGTCTACCTGCGCGCGACTGCACTAGATATACGTCAAGACAAAGCATTTCCTGCGAACATCACACAGCCTATGCCACCGCAGTAGAAGTTCCCACGATTCAGTCCTGGCTGAGGCCTGTGCATCCCCATCCGGCGCACGTGTCGTGATCTCTGTGCAAGTGCCTAATGAACCTCACCATGGCGGTACCAGTATAGCATGCAGCGGCTCATGGCTTTGCAAAGCTCAGAAAAGCTACAGCATGGCACATTCGGCGCTATTCCTGCCTGGGAAAACAACAGGAGCTCCGTGAGCATTCAAAGCACGGAAGCCGCCTGCCATTGCTACATCCGCTGCGAGCAGAATGCGGACAGGAGGCTGCACTCGGCCGAGGTGGGGCCACTGGTGTTCAGCGTCTTGATCTCCTTGACTTGATGGGCCACTTAGAAGTTATATGATGTTATTACCGCGGACTTGGTCGCGAATCTGAAACTTACTGGAAACCGAAATTCGGCTGACGTTCAAATTTGGTGCCGACATTCAATCCGGCCATCCGGCAAACGAGTGAAGCCTAAAATGGCCCTGGCGCCCAAATTCGACGCTGAAGCCTAAAATTCGGTTCACCAAGGCCTGGACAGACCGAATTTGGACTTCAGCCAATTCGAGCGCCGAAGTTCGGCGTCATGGACTGAGCCGACTGCAAGTCCACTGCAGAGCCGTACACCCCGCACATTCCGACATGCTGGGGCCAATTTTCGGCGCCGAACGTAGGCGTCAGAGAATTTCTGGCGACACTCCAAGGCTCCATTCTGGGAGTTCAAGGCTTAGAAGACTTCTGATAATTCGGGGGCGCCGGAGATCAAGCTTTATGAGAGGTCCAGGGCTCTTTTGCGGATTGAATGTAACATTCAGTTTCAGCACATCTTCGGCGTCAGGCTGCAGTGGGGCACCCGTGGATTGTTAAGCGAAAACTTTTCGAAATCTCGAATCCGAGGGTGGAGCCTGGGACTGACGGGGCGCCCTTGATGTCAAAAAAACTCAAATCGTAATCTCGAGCTCTTTTGAACTATAATTAACCATGAACTTCAAGAAGAGATATAAACCTCGAACTTAGAGGATAGAACCTTGGACTCATGGCTACACGTTGAACTCCGAGGTTGACCTCTTCCGAGAGGTTGGGCTCTTGGACTCAGGTGGTGCCCCGCATTCTTTCAGGACTCTGAGAAACCTGGAGATCCGAGGATGGATCTTTGGATTGACCGGGGCCTCCCTGATGTTGAAATGCGATCCCTTGATCTCCAGCGCCGTTGATTTCAATATCAGAGCTTCGATAAGCCTTGAACTTGGAGGACAGAGCCTTGGGCTGATGGGACAGAGGCTTGAATTCAGAGGATAAAAGCCTTGGACTGATGGGGAAAACTTTCTTAAATCTTGAACTGGGCGGAGCTTCGCGGCCGAATTCCGGCTTCAAGGCCGAATGTCGTCTTCAGGGCCGCATTTACTCTTTGCGGTCGAATTTCGTCTTGGCGGCCGAATTTCGTCTTGAGGGCCGATTTTCGGCTTCAGGGCCGATTTTCGTCTTGAGGATTTTCGTCTTCACGTCGTCTTCTGGGCCGAATATTTTGCTGTTTTCTTGGGGTCAGCCCACAGTCAGAATCCTAACCCTGGTAATTCCCTGCGGATTGCACGATTTCTTCCGTTCTGGCGGGCCAGTTCTAGGAGAAAGCGTCCAGTCAGCATCGTAACCTTGGAAATCCCTAGTGCGCGCACGATCGTTGCGGTTTTGGGTCCAGTCGTGATAGAAGAAAACGTCCAATCAAAAGCAATAACCCGCTTTCTGTCTTACTGCCAGTAACGTCGCGGTGTCATTCCTCCATGGCTCAGAGGTCCCAAAGTCCCGTTAATTGACGTTTGCTTTGATTTGTCTGCAGGACCAGGCACGCCCAACGAGGCCAGAAAGATTCCCACAGTGACGGCCAGGACGCAAAGCAGTTGCTCCTAGGTCAAGAATATAGGTCGGTGGGTGCACTCAGAATCCAGAGCACCCCAAGACCTGGGCGTCCCAACTGAAGCTCAGCCGCATAATAACCAGCATGGTCTGCAAAACAAGTCCGAGAACTGTCAGAACACTTGGCAGTGCAACAAGGAGCAGCCAGCTCATGCTATTTGCAGCTCGAGCAGCTGCTGAGAAGCGCTCCCCAAAGACCGTGTAACCGAGCAGCACGGTGGCGATGATGTTGCACGAACGGATCCTTACATTTCAGAGCATCAAATCCATCGAGTCCTCAGCGGGCCTAAACAAAGTGCCTTCTGCTTCTCTCTGTATCGTAGCCCCTCGACCCGTTGGAACAAAGGCTCTCAGTCAGGCAAGGCACAGGGTAAAGATTGCTACACTGATTTTATACGCAAAGGCGTAATTGGCGAGGACGGACATGGAAACCTGAGTGGGAGGCTTCAGGCCAGCTATGCTGTATCTGAGAATCTTGACCCGTTGAATCAAGCTGCTGGAAGCCTGAAGCACAACGACGGCACAAAAGCACACGTCATCGTTCCGACTCCTGTGGAATTTCTCTAGAGACAGGCGCTGCAGCTTCGGCGAGGGACCCAAAGCGCCGAGAACTTGGCGTGGCTCGCCAGTGGGGCTGCCAGTGGCTTCAGGCCCCGGGCCTGGATTCGGCCTGCCAAATGCGTCAACAAGAGTGAATTGTCAAACATGTTGTGGGCATGCATGTTCGTCGCACCAACAACACGAACAAATAGATATCAGAGATCTGCGATACATGTCTCGTTTGTTGTTTGTGCAGTCGTGATATGTACTTTACATTGAAAACCTTGCGAGCAACAACGGGTCGAGAGCACGCATCCACACAGCCAAACTAACACACACACACACTCACGCACACACAACCACACACCACACACACACACACAAACACACACACACACACAACATACATCCTGCCTTCCTGAAATACCTGCCACCTACGATGCCCAACTATTTCCGCAAAAGAAAGCTTACATTACATGTGCGGTTCATTTCATTACATTACGTTACACTTGAGACCCGACGGGAGGTGACGAAAGCTCTAGCTGCATGGCATGAGCGCAGAGGTTGCATGTGCAGTTGACTCCTGCACTTTCACACCGTGCAACGTGTCGCGCTAGCTTCGTGAAACTTGACTTCGCTCCCCGGTCGAAGGATGCCTTTTTCGACAGTTTGCTGAACCACGGTTGCTTAAGTTTGGGAGTGGCGCAAGAGTGGGGCCGTAGTCACAGACGATGAGATAGATATAGGATCATGATGAGGAGCGTTCGGCAATCCTTCGAAACTTGAGGCCTAAAGATCACTCGCCCGCAGTTGCCGGCTTGAGGTCTGAAACATGTCGTGACAGCATCATGGACGCTGCCCATGCCCCCTTGCCCACCCCCAACACCCCAGACATCATGAGCATCATCGAAGGCCCGTTTCTCCATGAAGGCGTGTTATAGTGCACCCTTCAAAACAAGCCCGCCAGAGCCGATGAAGGAGGCAGGCGGACACGCCCCAACTTCCCTCCTGGGGAGAGCTTTCGTGGTTACATTAAATTACGCTAATTACATTGCTTTCGGTTGCATTATCCTACTACTATACCACTGCACTTAATTTTCTAACTCGTGTAATTACCTTTGTGCATATTACTGTACTCTAATCTACTTATGTACCACTCCACCGGGACTTGGTTCTGGGGATCACGCCGGGATCAAATCATTCAGACCACCGGCGACGAATGGTCGGGGCGGGACCGCCGTACCATATTACAAGAAATACATGAACAAGACCAGGAAGACATGATCACGAGGTATGTGATGTATCACTTAAATCCAAACTATCCGAAAGTAAACCACGGCGGTAAACCAAGCTCGCACGAACCCATGTACATACCAGTGTGTCTGTCTCTGTGTTTGTGTTTGCCCGTGTGCGTGCGTGCGTGCGTGCGTGCGTTAGCGTAAGTGTGAGCGTGATCGTGTGTGCGTGTGCGCGTGTGTGCGTGTGTGCGCGTGTGAGCGTGTGTGCGTGTGTGCGTGTGTGCGTGCGTGCGCGCGCGCGGGTGTGTGTGTGTGTGCGCATGTGTGTGTGTGTGTCTGTGCATGTGTGTGTGCGTGGGTGTGTGGATGGGTGTGTATATACATATATATATATATGTGTGTGTGTGTGTGTGTGTTTGTGTGTGTGTGTGTTTGTGTGTGCGTGTGCGTGCGTGTGTGTGTGTGTGTGTGTGTCCGCCCC